CACATGTAATAATAGCTTTATAATAATAATACATTTTATATGTAACACACTTTATATTTAAACAAATCCCAAATTGCTACAGATAAAAACAGGAAAGTGTAAAAAATAAAACACACAGTGCACAAAAATAAAAACAATAGGACAAAGAAAAGGAGTCGACCAAAAACTTTCCTAAAAAGGTGGGTTTTAAGGCGTCACCATGGATGCACTTGTGGGTGAGGAGGGTGGCCTTGTGCTCATTCCTGAGTGAGACAGGAAGCCAGTGCAGTGATTTGAGGATGGGAGTCATGTGGTCGTGTTTGCGCACCCTCAGCAGGATCCTAGCAGCGCTGTTTTGAATGTACTGCAGCTTCTGGAGGCTTTTGCCAGGGATCCTGGTGAGGAGCGCATTGCAGTAGTCCAGCTTTGATATACATGTTCCCAAAATCTGTACTATTTAAATCTATTCAAAAATTTTAATGTGTGTGTGTGTGTGTGTGTGTGTGTGTGTGTGTGTGTGTGTGTGTGTGTGTGTGTGTGTGTATTTTTATATATATAAAATCTAGAATAAAACAGGCACTTCAGCCTATCACAGTCATCTGTTGTGGTTGCTGCTTGTTCAGGCCTTCACGCCTTTAGCCAAATTTGGACATATTTGGCTCCATTGACTGCCAAGATGAAGTCCACCCAATTTGCAAGCTTCATAGCTTTGACACATACTGACATTTCACCTGCTTTCATCTCTTACACTTTGATAGACAGTCCAACTACTTGCAGTGCTAAAACACACAGACTGACAAATCGACTGCCTGCAGTGCTCGAACTTTAAACAAAATGTTCAAAGCGATTGTAGACACTTCAACAGACACTTTGAACCATTTCAGTGCTTCAGCTTCAACTAACACTTCAATTATTAACAGTGGACACAATTCAGCTGCCTCCGCCGCATCAACTTCAACTCAAATTTCAATTGTTTCATAATTTACAGTACAACTGACATTTCAACTGCTCTCATCTCTCACACCTCAAGTGACAGTTCACCTGCTTTTATTGTTAACACTCATCCTACTGACATTTCAGCTGCTTTTAATTGGTGCTCTTAAACTTCCCACTCTTGCTCTTCACATGTCTATTCAACTACTTCCAGTGTTTACATACAAACTGACAATTCAGCTTCCTACAGTTCTTGAGGTTGAAGCTAAATTGTCAAATGATATAAACAATTACAATTAAACTGACTTCAACTGCCTTTGACATTGAACATTTCCAACGTACATTTAGCTATTAACACTGTAAACCGTTCAGCTGACGCTTCAACTTAAAATTCAATTGTCAATTCTTTAGCACCTTGATATTTTGGTATGTTATATTAATAGTGTGCATTGCTATTACAGTGGGAAGCCACTCAGCTTCTGATGTATCTCTTCTCGTAATAAGTGTAGTTTGTATGTTACATCACACTCTCATTAAATATATGGCCTTTGCTGTTTGTGCCCCTGCTATTTTATCCTGAAGGTTAATGTTCTGTAGTATAATGTTTTGAAAACGTTAGAGGAGGAGAATTACTGAAATTATTTAATTCGTGGTATCTCTTTTACATACAGTGGAAGAGGCAAATTGCAGGCTGTTTTGAGAGAATTGGCTAAAAGGATTTGGCACATCCTCACCGATGTTGACAAAGTAAATGTGACTATTCGGAGAGACTTTCCTGTGAACAGGAGCTTGTTTGTTTACACAAGTGGGTGCATTTACCCTCAAGTTGTTGCCATAATGAGGTAGTGGAAGACTTGGTGGCATTTCAGTCTCCTCATTTGTACCTACGCATTTATTATTTTGGAAGATAAAGAACACACATTGATGCAGTCATTTTTATTCTTCAGTTTTTTTGTTTTATTTAGTTTTTTTTTCTTTGCATGCATGTAAAATGTCAGCCAACATGCATATTTTATGACTTTATTTCCGTGGTTGGGGCTATACTACATGAAGGGTAATAAGGATAGAGGCTCGCATAGAGCTGGAGGTATAAACATCTGGGCCAGAAGCAGGTCCCCTCCACCTCCCCCACAACACATAATACAGACAGACAGGCTCACCCCTCTCTTATAATAACAACTGCCCTTTAAAACAGGGGGCTGTTAAACAGTGGACTTTGTTACTACACACAGACAGAGTCACATACAGTGGGGAATGAGGACATACATGCAAGGCTCTGACATCTGTTTCCATTCATACGCTGACTTTTCAGATCTGTCTGGAGATATGTGTGTTTACAAGCCAGTCAAAGACATGAACACACACACCGAATTCGCAACACTGGGCACATACTGGCAGTATTTTTCATACTGTAGAGGAAGGAGGTATATTATCCTCAGATTTAGGAGGAAATAAATCACTCACACCCAGAACAGACACGTTAAAGCTCTTCTGCTTCCATTTATACTCCAAACAAACATTTCTGAAGTTCTTTAAAGGTCTGTGATAAATTAATACTTTAATAGAAATTAGAAAAGGCACAATTTACTCAAGAAGCGTGCTCATTTACGCTGAATATTGCATGCGCACACACTGTTAACGGGTCTAAATGTCTTAATGTGAATTCTTCTCTTGGTTAAATATTTCATGAGAATTGTAGTTGAGGTTGAAGCGTCTGTTGAAGTGTAGGAGCTGAAAACAGATGAACTATAAGTTCAGAGTATGCATGTAAGAGATGGTGATAGTAGATGTCCCACCTGTGAAAGCAGCTGAACTGTCGAGTAAGCAATAAAAGCTGTAAAACTGTCAGTTGAACTGTAAACAAAAAGAAAGAAAAGGAAATTTCAGTTGAATTTGAAGCATCAGGTGAACTGTTGTGAATCAGGTGAATGTTTTTAGAAGTGTTAGAGTTGAAAGTAGTTGAAGTTAATTTAATTGTAATTGCTTATAGTGATTAAAAATGTTGCTTATTTAGTCAGTTTGTATCTAAACACTGAAAGTAGTTGAACTGTTAAGCCTAGTTCACACTACACAATTTTTAGCCTGATTTGCCGCTCTGCAAGCTCAGTGACCATCAGGCTGTAATCAAAGGTAAATCAGCGGTTGATCGGCGGTCGCCAGTCTTTAAGTGTGTGAAATACACAAGGATGCATCAAAACGGCTCCTCGACACATTTCTGATATATCTATTATAAAGATGGCAATTATAAAAACAAAGAATATGGATGAAAGAATGGATTAGCACACACAGGTAGCAGGGATTGTCTGTGCTACAGAGAGAACTGGAGGTGAGTAAAAAGTGTTTTGCAGTGCTCGCCGACCGGCAAATCGGGCTTAAAATCATGTAGTGTGAACTAGGCTTAAGCAGTGTCAGACAGACAGAAGCAACTGATCTCAGTCATATGTTTCCTTTTAACTCTAGTCGCGTCTGGAGGTTTTACAGCCATCCTCTGATTTAAGAGCAGATTGATTTAAAGAGGGATTTATTACAGCCTTTTTACTCCGAATAACTATCTTTAAACGTGATTTAACATTTCCGTCAGTTTATGTCCAAGTCAGCATTCCTCTGCTCTCAAGTGTTGATGGGAGGACTCCTTCCTCCCTCACCCCGCACCCCATCCCCAGCTTTTCTGCAGGGACTTGTTGTTGGCCATTTGTCTCAGTGTTGTAATTGACAGGGAGAAGTGACAGTAAACAGAAACCTCTGCAGGGAGTAGTCTGATCTCCTAAAGCAGTCCCAAGAAGAATTTTCCACATGGCACCCAAATCAAATCTTACTTTATTATCAAAAGAAGGAACTTGATTAAGTCAAAGGTGAAGATAATACAAAAAGATTACAACAATTGAGAAAAATAATACACACAATCCATAAAAAAAAAGTCCTGAGACTTTTGGATATGTTAGGTACTGCTCATGCAAGACTGGTTGTCTGTAATGCTTGTTTTTTTTCTCAAGACGGGTGATTTCGAATCTAAAAGTGTACATTCGTTTTGAAAAGACTGTTATTGTTATTGTTAAAAAAATTAATGCAAGAAGCAATCAATGTGCGTTATCCTTTTCATGATGTCCATATTTAGTTATAGTTTGACCTCTGTTTTTCTTTTTGTTATTTTTTTTTAAATAGTTCATTGCATTCCATGTTGTTCAGAAACTGACTCTCACATCTCTGTTTGATTTAATTTGCTTCCTAACATTAACTGACTCAGGAATTTGACAGTTCTTTTACAGGTTATTGTACACATGGGAGAAGCAGCTAGAGAGAGGATGTCCAGGAGGAAGTAATCGTCTGTATGTCCACATACATGCTATATGTGTGTGCATATGGTTGTGTGTGTGTGTTTTTGACTGAGGGTATGTAGGAAACAGACTCCAGTATCCGGCTATTTGCGCCCTGCCTTGATAAGAGAAGGTGTTTCCTCTGCTGCCTGCATGACTCCTTAGGGCCCATTGTGTGGAAGCAGCAGATATTTATTATTGGAAAGGGTATAATTAGGGTCCCTTGCTTGTCTGGAGAGGCAGTCGGTCTGGGAGACTGAGGGGAAAAAAAGGGACAGAATGATGATGAAGGGCTGTCTGCAGCAGGATGGGTGTACTGTAAAGTGGGGGATGGGGTGTATTTGGAGCGATAGCACAAAGGATCTGGGTTAGATCTGACCACCCCCTGCTGCTCCAGCTGGACTGGGACTCACGCCACTGTCTCTCTATCCCGCAATGACATCATCACAGCATCCTGTGTGGTACACTGGCATTCCCAGTATCCCCCACACCCCCTCATCAAACAATCACTCAGTTGGCACGATGACAGGGTTTCCCCCCTGGGCACAGCAGCCCAGAGATACAGTACAGTCATTATTCTGGAGAGTGAAGCAATCAGGAACGTCATTCCTCTCTGTGACGAGTGATTGAAGGGCACATTATAACGCATACCAAGCCCGACACAATTGATTGGAGAAAATAAAGGCTGTTGTTCACAGTAATGTATATAAATGCAGCTTTATGTGAATGTTTGCACTCAGCCCCATCCCTCTGTCTTTTGTCTTTCATGTGCAGCTGAAAAGGTGTCATCTCTGGGGAAGGACTGGCACAAGTTGTGTCTCAAGTGTGACCGCTGCAACAAGCTCCTGAACGCTGGAGGCCACGCTGAGGTCAGTAACACACCACTAGTAACAGTACAATGCTGATAAAGTGTTCAGTTTTTATGTGCTTGCACTTTACCTAAGTAATTAAATTTTATGCCTTTGTACTTCTACCCCACTAATGTACATTTATTCTCATTCTGTTCTAATAATAATACATTTTACTCATGTTAAACTACCAAAAAGTGTATGATAAAAATAACAGTAAAGCACTTCAGCAGGTGCCCAAACACAAAACCTCTGGTTGACTGTCAGTTTACCAATTAATAATGTAAATAAATTGTGAAATTTTAAAGAAAGAATCACAAGATATGAGTTTTAACTCCATAATGGACAGTGATATGGACTCTTGATAGCCTGTATAGCAGCGTGCATGGAGCAGGGCACTGACATTGCCTGGGGTAGAAGTTCACTTCCCACTGAGCCCATTCATGCTAACATTACATGCACTCTGAGTCCGTGTCCACCAAATGGCTTATGTTATGGTCCTCTAAATGGACTTTATGTTAATGCAAGTTCTGTTCTAGGTAGTGTTGTTTTCTTTATGAAATATCAGCACAGTGTTTTTACAGTTCACTGACTGTTCATCGACTAACAAGAGGAAGTCAGTGCTTGGTCAAGTGTTGACTTATTGACAGATTTCCTTCACAGTGGATGAAAAATGCTAACCATTTAGCATGTTTATTCCTTAAGGAAAAAATGTTTAACATTAGCTTGTTTTAGTGTTTTAAAACTATGAAAAATTATAGTTTTATTAAAAATATCTTGACATATGTGTAGTGCGCCAAGGCACTTAGGCTAAATATTTGTTTTTTGATACCTGGTGATGAAGGAACTACATGCAGGGCTGGTTTGTGAACTACTCTAGCTCGCAACCTAACGGCTAACACACTAGCCATCCAGGAAGATGGTAGTAGATGGAAAGTCAGTCAGAATTAGTCACAAGCACCTTTTTTAATTTTCTTTGTACTGTGTCTGTTCTCCTAACTTACATAATTTAATTTAATAAACATGTATTTATAAAAGGGGGGGAGCTGACAAGCTTGCCAACCGTAAGTTAGCAAGGTCATTAGCTCTGTGTACCATTGAATCCTGTCTCATAACTGTCTTTTGCGGAACAGTCTTTTGCGGAACAAAAGAAGAATGTAAAAATGAATGGTGCAACTCCGCTATTAAGCAATGATGGCGTCCTCCATGTTGGACTCTGGCTCTTCTTGTTATTGGTCAACGGCGGCAATTAATGAATCAAACTTCACTGCTCTCTATTTTAAAAGCTGATGTGACCATTCTTTTAAACTGGCAGATGGTGTTTTCAGGTGCTTCTAATTGGGTATAGATATTATGTAGAACTGGTGTATTTTATACAGGAAACTGCTGAGGATATGCCTTTTTTCCTGCTTTGTGTTTCTGGTTGCATCTGTCAATATGAGTTGTCCTTGTGGGAATTGTAACCCCCTCATTCACAGGATGAGTTGCTTTGAGATCCTTTTTCCCCTGTGCGTTACATAATCACACTGCAGTATCACGTCTCAGCATAGATTCCCCCGACTGCTGCTCACTATCTGGCACCTTCGTCCTGGGGATTTTCTTATCATGCCCTTTTTCGTTTGCCTTTCATGACCCAGCCAACGATTCAATTCTCACCCTCTCGCTCTCTCTACACGTGGGTGAATATCACACACACACACACACACACACACACACACGCACACACACACATCTCTGAGGATGTGATCTCAGCGTCTTTGTACACAAAAAATAATTTCCTGCAGACCTAAAAGGATGCTGCTCTGCTGTTTAATCTCTGCATGATTACAGTAACATAGTCACACAATGTCACTGAGGCCCACGCTCTTTCGGCCCACCATCCTCTTCTCCCCCTCCATCCTCTCTCCTCATGGACTGCATCCAAATCCCGCCACAGGCTGCAGCGCCATGTCATGAGCCGGACTTTAGTAGGCGAAAACTCAATACTGGATCATCGTCATGGAAACAGAGTGAGGCTGGGAGACATTAAATATATAAAAAAAAGCATGTAAAGGGACTGTGGTTTTGTTAGGGAGGATGTTTGATGTCATCTCAGGCCTGGTATGCAAAAGGTACTGACCCTCAAGAGCAATACTGACTGCTTCTTTAAAAGGAGATGGGGGCAAGATAGAGCTCACTGTGGCCTGTCGTCTGAGGGCCAAAGGAGGGCTGCAGCTTCCTGAGGATAGCGGCAGAGAGCCAGGCTTGAAAAGATACAAGTGACAAGTTCTTCAATGTTGACCCTAAAAGGTCAGGGTTGTTTTAACCTTTAGCACCTGATTAGAACAGTCTGTGTCAAAAACCTCATAACTCAGAACATGCAGAAATTGCTCTGAACCATAGACTGTATAAAAGAAGTGGACGTAGCCACTGTGATGTCACCTGTTGGTTTATGGACTACCGTTTTGAAGCCTCAATTTTGGCAGTTTGGTTGTTGTTGGTTTTTTGGTGACCATATTTGGACAGAAGGGTAGGGTATGGGAGAAGTGAGGGGTGACGTAGCCATGAATTTGATTCCCTCCAAAGTCGGTTTACTAGTGAATTTACATTTCGTCCATGATTCTAGGTTGTCAACTAGCGCCAACTAGCTAGCTTAGATTTACTGTAACTGATATTAATTGGGAAGCTAATTTTGGTTAGCAAATACACACGCTTAAAACAAAATGTAATACTGGAAAAAATGAACAGCCGACTCCTTAGAGTGTCTTTCAGTAGAACTGAATGCTGAACAAGACATTTTTAGGTGACCAAAATGTACAATTAACCTTCATGAACTGAAAACAGATCGACAGCACTCAAAAACAAGGCTAGTTAAATGTACACATGTATACAGGTTATACACCTGTATAAGGGTGGTGATGGCGCAATGAATAATACACATGCCTTTGGTGTGAGAGACCCAGGCTCAATTCCCCTCTGTAACACATCCACCAATGTGTCCCCGAGCAAGACAGTTGCTCCAGGGGCGTGCGACCTCTGACATAAATAGTAGTTGTAAGTCGCTTTGGATAAAAGCGTCAGCTATATGAATAAATGTAATGTAATGTACACAGTGCAGTTGATACGATGCACCTCTATACTTACTGATCGGTCGCAGCGTTAGCGACTTGGCAATCTAAAGCATAACCTAGCGTATCATCTTTTTTACTCTAAATGGGACCGCTCAGAAAAAAAGGCAATAACTGCACTGGGCAAGGACTTTACTACAATTCCATGACAACTAGACAATCATTATCTGCTCATGAAGTAAATGTGATACGGCTGAAAGCTTGAGGTGAGATGTTTAGTGTCTCCAAGGTCAAGAATGAGCTTTGAAGCTCAATTTATAAATCCACTGTGAAATTATTTAAAAAGGTACTTCTGATCATGATCATTATATTTAGACTATTTCTTAGTAGTAATCCAATTGAAACAACATATTTCAGTACATAACGGTGAAAACAGGAACTGCTAATAGCTAATGCAGAATGACTTAACATGGTGTAGACTTGTAAAGAAGTAAATAATTAGGTGGAAAAGGTTTTACCTACAACCACAGTAACTCACTGTCTCCACAACGACATCACAGCTTCTGTTTTTATAAGTCAAGGCTTAAAGGGAACTAAAACACTAAAAAAACACACAAAAAATCTCTAAAAAACTCTAAATGGAAAAACTACATCTACTGATATTGATGTTTTGAAAACCTTCACATACAACAATTCAAACAATGTGACATTAGGAATACATTTTGTTGCTATTGTTGATATGATAAGAGTGTAACATTGTCAGACTTATGATGAACAGTTTTTAAAGAAAGGGATCAAAGAACATTATTTTACATTATCAAAATATGATGCCTACATTAACTGCACCGACAACAGTTGTGTTTGAGATCCAGATGTGTTATGCTAGTAGTGGCTAAGGAAGCCTCGACTCACTGGCCACAGCAGAGATGAGGTTCGGTGAGCTCACTTCTTTCGAACTCCTCACCCTCAGACTTTTAAGATGATCAAATGTGTAGTCTTCCACCCCGTCCCACGCTGACTCAAGTGACATCAGGTGAGGGGAATTATCAGATTTCACACAGCTTTGATGTAATGTGGAAGGGTGGGAGGAGGAGGAGGAGGAGGAGGAGGAGGAAGGGAGCAGGTCAAGAAAGAAAAGATGGAGAAGACAGATTTCAGTGTCACGATGTGGGAAGGGAACTTTCTGGGAAGAGAGTGGGCTGTACAGTGAAGGATAATCCATTTTTAGGGTTCCTCTGCTGTTCCTCTTGACATTTCACAGCCAGAGCCACAGCGATACTGTACATCAGACTGTTACCAGACCGCTCAGTTCACTTGACAATGAAGCCCTGTGTGTGTCTTGTCCTGAGAAAGTCATCAGTGCTCAGTCACTGCTTGGCATCAGCCTCCAGACCTTCACGGATCTCATAAATGTCAAACAGGAAGTGTGAAAGGAGTGCGTGACTACTTAAACAGTATCTGATCCTGTTAATGCATTATTAAAGGTGAGAGAACAATCCTGTTTTCTGCCACACCGTCTTTAAAGGAAAATGAGCTCATGTGGCCAAGGCAGAAAGGATTGTGGGTTGTATGCCTCGTTTTCCCTTACCACCCAGGGCCTGGCATCTTGCCCGTGGCATTGGCTTGGTTCTTCTCTTCTATGGGCATTGGGCTCTGGACCAGTGGCCACCCTGGCCCTCAGCCCTGATCCCCTACCCAAGCTGATCACATGCTCCTTCAATGACCGCCACTTTCCCAGCATGCATCAGCAACAGGCCATCTATGTCTTAGACTGGCTTCTCTGCCTCATGAAGAGGCAGACCTTCATGGTTGTACAGACACGTAGGTTGCACTCAAGTGTGGCACTGAATTCATCAACAGAGTTGTTATGTGTTGAGATGGAAAGAAAAGCCTCGTCTCCGTTTTTGGACACAGTCCCTCCATCTCCTTATCCACCCATGGGAAAAAAAAAAATCAAAACCAAAATATATTATGTCAGAAAAATGCGTGAAAAATATGACTTCTCATCACGTGGTTGCATTTTCCCATTTGCGTCATCAGTTTTTTTTTTTTAAAGCCTTACATTCCTGTTGAGTCAGTTTGTTTTATTTGTATGTGATGGTGTTTTTTCTGTCTCTCCCCGCAGCACGATGGAAGGCCCTACTGCCACAAACCATGCTATGCTGCCCTCTTTGGGCCAAAAGGTAAAGTACATGTTTTTTTTGTTCAACATGCAGTATGTTGGTACCTGTAAATTAAACTTTGTCCACACTCTCTTACTGCATCTTTACTGGATTTGTTGTATACTTGTTTGTAGTGTGTGACAATACTTAGTTTGTTCATGTTCTTTTTATTTATTGTTGTAATGTTTTTATGTTGCCCTCTTGGCCAAATCTCTTTTACCTGGCTTAATAAAGGAAATAAAAACAAGTTGGAGTTTTTAGTGTGGAGGTCTATAAATTACTAGTTGGCCGTTAATCGGAAGGTCGGCGGTTCAATACCGGCTCCCGGTTGCATGTCGAAGTGTCCTTGGACAAGATACTGAACCCCGAATTGCCCCTGGCGGCTGTTCCGCCAGTGTATGACTGTGCATGAATGTTAGTTTCTGTTTGAGCACTTAGGCTCAGTGAATGAATGTGAGTGAATGGTGAATGCAGATGCAGTGTAAAAGCACTTTGAGAGGTCGAAAAGACTAGAAAGGCGCTATACAGAGCATAAATTTAGTTCTAGTTTTTCAAAAAAATTAATTTATTTATGTGTCTGTATGTTAATTACCCAGTTTGTATTTATTTATTAATTTAATTATGTTTAAGAAAATATTTATGATTCATTTAAGCTTTTATTAGTAATTAAAATATCTATTTCTGTATTAATTTACTTCAGAATTTTTTGAAGTATTTTATATTTTACTAAATAAATTGTCAATCATCAGCAGAGTCAGTTATATTTTTGTTCACATCTCAGTGCCACATGTCATATGAACCAACCGTTGACAGTGTTTTTTTCACCTCCTCCCCTTTGACCTTTTCAGGAGTGAACATTGGAGGAGCCGGCTCTTATGTGTACGATACTCCAGCCAACAACAACCCGTCTCCAACTAGTGTGGATTCATCTTCCAAAACTGAGGAGAAGCGAGTATTCGCACCCAAGGCAGCATCAAAAGGTAAATGAGAAATGTGAGCGTGTATTCACACTGTATGTACTTTAAATTGTGGATCTATCTGCAAACATTGACTTTATTTTGATGTTTTAAAGAAGCTGTTGGTCTGCTGACTCAATGATAAGAATATCGATACAGTCTTTGGGGACTTGTGGAGGATTTTCTCAGACGTGTTCGATAGGGCGTGTCTTCTGGGAAATCCCTGTCAGCAGGAACAAAGTCACTTTATCTGGTGTTTTTTGTCCATTTATCTCTGCTGTGCAGTTTCCAGTTAGTGGCCGTTCTCCACCCACTTGGTTGGAAGAAAACTCAGCAATGATTTCAGGATCTTGCTGCCATTACGCATTTAAATCCTTTTAAATGTGTGTGGGCTAAAATTTGTAACAGAGGATTGAATGCTTTTATTTGTTTTTGGTGAATACGTGCGTGTGTGGAAATATGTGTACAGGTTGTTTTTATGACAGAATAAAACCAAACCAGTCTTTGCCTTTTGCTGCCCCCTGCAGTTCCCAGCACGGCACTACATGGAAGCTACATGTAACAGCAATGGGCCCCCATGATTGGCTGTTGTCAGAGGGAGTGAATGAAGTGTTTTAACTTGGCAACCAGAATATTTAAATTGGCAAAATATGCCTCTTTACTCAGCAATTCCCTCCTGTAACTTATAAAAGCTGTTTAGTACTTGGTTCAATATTATTTTTATACCCATACATTATTAGTACACTGGATTTCACACTTCAGTGGAAAGATTAGCAGTCATTTATTGAACTGTTTCCCTTGCAGCACATTTTGCCTTTCCAGTATTGTAATGTGTGTAATGACTCTGTAATGTGTCAGCAGCTGGCAGCATCACCACTTTTTCTGGAGAGGCCAACCTGTGTCCCAGATGCAGCAAGAAGGTGTATTTTGGTAAGTAGTTCCACACTTCCAGGAAACAAGGTGAGGCAAAAGGTGTGAACCTGCAAAGTGGTTGCCATGGTGTCTCACAAGTGTGTGTGTGTGTGTGTGTGTGTGTGTGTGTGTGTGTGTGTGTGTGTGTGTGTGTCACAATAGCTGAGAAGGTGACATCACTGGGCAAGGACTGGCATCGACCCTGCCTCCGCTGTGAGAGGTGCAGCAAGACTCTGGCTCCTGGGAGCCACGCAGAGGTGAGGGGGAGGAAAAATATGTTGGAAATACTGAAAAGAAGAATAGACAAAACTCTGAAGGGAAAAAAAAAAGATCTGTAGAAATAAATCAAACATCAAACTCAGAACAGAAATCCAAATGTTCTGCCATAAAGTCTACTTTTATGATGCCTGGAATGTTCAGTTTTTGTTTAAAATGTCATAGAGCTTTTAATTAAACTATATATTTTAGCACTGAGGTCATAGATGGTGGTGGTGCTGTACTGGACTGCATAATATTCAGAGGTGTTTCTAGTATTCTGCCCCTGTCATGTATACAAATATAGAGGACAAAAATTTTTAAACACCTCTTAATGTAATGTAATCCAGCACCACTTTTAACTACAGTATATACAGTATGTGTTATAATATATGATATAATAAACATATAATTGAGTTTACCCTGTTCCCAACAAACTGAACATTACAGGGCTTTTGTATGAGACAACATTATATTGTACTGGTGTACCTAATAAAAGGGCCACGGAGCGCTTAATGCTCGATTTAAAAACAAATGAGAAAGTGCTTCTTCTGACAGCGATGTGACACAAAACAAGTGATGCTGATGCACAGGGGAAATGAGGGAAATTAATTCCAAAAAAGCAAATCTGTTTCATCAAGGTACAGAAGTTTAAAAGTCTTTATGGCTGCGTGATTAACAACAAGACCAACGCGGAAGGACAAGTACAAGCTTCATGACACACATGAGAATTTTTTCAGTTCCCTCATGGCACTTGAGTGAATGAACAATATGTCACATGTAATAGTAAATAAAGCATGTATACAAGTAAATTCTCTTGAAACACATATCACCAAGACCAGCAGGTGAAAACATTAGTTGGGGTGGAGAAATCAACACCTAAATGTTTTAAAAAAGGTCATAAATCTTTATCATCATTGAGATCCAGATATACTAAAGTTTCCATTTTTGTAATAGTCTTTTCAACCTGTCACCTCTCCTTACAGAGTGAGGGGGTGACTTCAGGAACCATCATGTAGCCACTATAATAAACCCTTTTCCACTTTTGTACCTTGACTTCTTTGGAGACAGAAAAAGAATGCTTTTATTGTGTTAATGTTGTTTATTTAATTTATTTTTTATATTCCAGCATGATGGCCAGCCCTACTGCCACAAACCGTGCTATGCTGTTCTCTTCGGGCCCAAAGGTAACCGCTAGGGGGTGCTGTCAACCCACCGATTATCAGATAGACTTGAAACAGAATGTCGTATGTCTGAGCACTTGCTGCACACGTTGCGCACAAATAAGTCTTACTCAATAGTCATTTCATCATAACACCATTGTCTACAACATGGCAGATTCTTGAGGCTGTATAGGAAATGTTTTGCAACCTCTCCTGCTCATTCTCTACCTTCTCTTGCCCTCTCCATTAACCCCTGACAACCCTCTGCTGTCCCTGTGGTTTTTCCAGGCGTGAACACTGGCGGTGTGGGCAGCTACATCTATGACAAGGAGCCCAGTGCAGTGGCTGAGCCTTGAACCTTTGTCCCCTCAGCCTCATCCCTCTTCTCTACACAACACTGACCGTCAACCACAGTATTATTTGTAGCCTTTTTCTCCTCCCCACCTGTGCGTTCATACCTGAGACAACCAGCCTTCTGCTCCAGATCCTTTTCTCCTTCATTCTGACCCACTCCTGGCAGATTTAGCACCATGAGGAATGATTTCAAATTGCCTAGACATGTGTTATATGTATTTGCTCCAGGAGAGCCCTCGGCACAACCACATCCAGCATTCCCACATGATGTCTGTAGGTTATTACACACTATTCAAATCGTTACAGCTATTTTGTTTACACAATTATAAATGTAAGTGGATACATTAAATGTCAACACAGAAAGAATATGAAGGTGTTCTATTTCAATTTTGTACCCTGACAATGGTGTGATTGAGGAAGAGATGACATATGTTTTAAAAAAAAATATATATATATATATATATTGGATGGAAAGTGATTCTCAGGTGTGGAAAGGTGCTTTGTGGGTGGAGGTGCAGAGCGTTGACTGTGACGTGTTGACAGCCGGAGGAATTTTGCTTCGGAGGCTGCTGCACGCACAGGTGGTGTTCAGGATCGCGGTGCCAATAAATCTGTATGTTATAAATGCCATATTTACAGTTTGACTTCCTGACAACATTCCTTATATGGAAAAAAAAAAAAGTCTGTTTTTTAAGAAAAATCCCAACATATTGTAAATGGTTGGAAAGTGGATCTCTCAGGCGACTGTTACATGATTTTAAGAATCTTTGAGGCTGTATTGAGTCAACATGAGTTTATTTTACTTTTGAGCATACGTTAACCTGTTTCATGTAACACAGACATCTTTTCCCAATTGTTATACTTTAATTTTTTTTAGTGAGGCAGAATGTGGGTGAGGTTATGGGAAGGGAGGGTTATGATTTGCCAGGGGAGAAACATGTATTTATTATTTTAATTCATGGCCTTTACATTTCATTAGACATTGTACTGCTGCCCTTTATGGGACTGACTATGAAGGAGGTAAAACAAGGCAATGTAAGCTGTATAAATCTCTACGATCAAGATTTCTATTGTTGTTTTCAGCTAAATAGCCCTGCTGTTAGTTTCCAAGAGATGATGCGCTATTCAAAGTATTGTAATTTTTGCCATTAGCAGAAACAGTAGCTTAGCTTGTAGAAACAAAGACGAGACACTGCAGACAAGTCATTCTGTAAGAATGTGCATCCTAGTATTACTGTACGACTGTTACTGTGTTTGTTTTATTACCTGTTGTACATTGTAGGGCTTTATAGACACGGCAGGGCTTACTGTATGTAGAACTGAAGCACAGCTCTTCAGCCCTGCTGCATTTGTCTTTTTAATCCCTTGAATAAATATTTCAGAAACTGTCCATCTGTGTTATTACAATTATTGTTTGACAGATTTTAAATTTGTTCATGAATTTCAATAAAACAAACACTACATGTGGTGAAAGTTTGTGATTTTGTCATCAGTTATTTGTTTAGATTTGACTGGATGGAAAATAAAAATTCTAAAGAAGCATTAACGGAATAATACTGTGAACTGAATACTATAAACTACTTCAGATTATAGTCTTGTGATTGAGAGACCGTCAGCAAAAGCACTCTCTCTGTACAAAATAATACAGGGAGTAGTTTTGTGGTTGATCTAGTCAACTGTACACAGCAATGAATGTGAAATGTCATTACAAAAGCAGAGCAGGCGCACTTGGCAAGCTTTCCCTGAATGAATCACTTGGCTCATTCATCTCAGGTCAGTCTTCACTGTCCTAACTGTAATGCAGCATGTTTTATGAGGCAGAAAAGCACTGTTATATAATCTGAACTGCATGTGGGAAAGCTTTAAAGTTATATGAGGTGTTCTTTACTATTGTAGTCAGGTGTAAACTGCTTTTTCATAGCTGAATGTAATGTATTTATTATTGTTGACATATCAAACTACATGTGATGGCATTGATTGGTTGGACAAAATAATGGGACTTACCCTACAATATAATGTAAAACCACCACATTAGTTAATGCATTCAGAAACCTAAAGGTAGAATTAATTGTGTGAATGCAACGACTGGAGAATGTCAGCTCCGCTTAGTTAGTACACTGAGGCAACACTCAGCTCACTGTGTGTCACTTCACAACACATATCCAAACATAATGATTGACAGCAGGAAGAATGGCTTCGCCCCACTGCATGGTTTCAGTCTTACATCACTTTTTTAAAATGTGTTAAGTTTCGGTGTGATACCAGTTTGGTAGCATTGCTCGTGCGTACATAGACTCCAAGGTTGCACACCATGTCATCATTTTAGTCATAAAATCAAAATATGAACCACCATCTTTCCCACATTGGGTCACTTTTAATTTCTCTTTGAAAAACATCTTTTTAAGGTTGAACTGGACCACACCCAGGAAACTGTATAGTTGCCTGGATACCAAACAGATGTCAGTATACATGGCCGCCTACATGTGAACTCTTTGTTTTCACATCAGTCACAACAGACCCACACACACACACCTTGGACTGGCTTTGTGATGGAGACTGCCAAATGAAACCATCTGTTGCAGGCAAAATTAGACACACTGGACTTAGAGAGAATACAGTTGTCACCACCTGCAGGATGTATTGGTCAGTCAACAACTTCCACTTAGTTTTCAGCTTCCATACTGAATGTGGAAAGATTGTAGCCGACATTGTATGTCAGTTCTGTAATTTATGTTGTTTGTTTGTCAGTTTTGGATGTTTTGCATTCTTTATAAATAGCTTGGACTACCATTAAGATATCTGCCTCATCCCTTCTCCTAGCTAGCCTTTAGCTTCTGTAACACAGGTGGTTTTCTCATACATTTGTCATTTGTCTTTGTGAAAACCTGAAACATATTTGTTAAATTGTCTGTCCACCTTTTGTGCAAACTAAATGGTTATCTACTGACAGATTGGCTAGAAAATTTAAGCACCTAGTTTTTCAACTAAGGAAAAAAACAATTGTTCTGTTAGCATGCAACACCTAGCACGACAATGGCTAAGAATGTTAACATTCTTGATAAATATGACAAGGTGTTTAAATTGCAGCCATAATGTTTAATTTTGTTGAAGATGAAGAGGATTGGAGATGAGTAATAGAAGCTACTTAACAAACTTGGTTGGTTACTGTAATGGGCTAATATGATAGTTCAATGTTCAGTTCTCGCTAACTTTTTAAAAATCGAAGCGAAAAAACTACTAACATCTTTTTAAAATTTTTAGTCTTGTTTGCATGTAGAATACTTTTATTGTTTTTTGGGGGAAAAAATCCTAAATCCCTGCTCCAAAATCATGTCCACTATTAGAGTCATCACAAGAGATTGCTTCATAGGGGCTGAAGCTAATAAACTTGAGAAACACTGCCCTAAGAAAGCAACCCTCTTTAAGCTCCCTTGAAAAACACAATCTGGCTTTATGATGAGGAGAGACTCTATGGCACTCAGCAAATAATGGGATTCTGCATTGGAGGTGTCAGATACGGAAATATCTGCCATTTATGTAATGGCTTTCATAACTACTTTTCCAATAACGGGATATCAATTCCTCTTCTTTTCCTCTGGACCATTTCTTCTTCAAACAGGGGAGCAAGACTTTGTCTCACATCATAAAACAATATTTCCACCATCTACAGTTATTCCCTAAATAGAACTTGCATACATGGGCTATGAATGTTCAGTGGACTCAACCCATCTACCAGATGTCCGAAAGTTTTAGTGAAGTGACCAAAGCAACCGTATTGGAAGAGAGGAAGTGCAAGGGTCGCTTTAATGGAACCAGGACAAGTCTCTGGGGATCTCTTCGTCACTTTCTTCGGAAGACAAACATACACAGCAGCAACTTCCCATGTCCAAAATGGTTTGCTTTGAAGTTTGGCTTTGTTGCGAAAATATATAGACCAATAGAATAGCAAAATTACAATATGTAAAATCAGGATGACAATTTTATCGATTGTAACATGTATGAAGTATGGATTCGGGCAGACCTTGGGCAATGCCTGAGTCGTCACCGATATGACATGAACTCAGCTCACAAAATCTCATGACTTTGTGGGTGCAGTTTGACTTAAAGTAGCCTGGCAACATGAGAAAACAACACACCTACTGTCAAAAACATTTTGATTCAAGTAATGCTGAATCCTGATTGGTGCACAGACATTTTATGCCAAATGACTCCTGCCCACTTTAACCCAGTTAAAGGAGCTCAGACATCTCTCAGTGGAGACAAACAGGTCTAAAGTTGGCAGAAAACTGTTTGTTCATATAAGATCCCATCTCTCATAGCAAGAAGCTGATTGAGAAAATTGGTTATCAGGACCTTTAAATAAACTGTGTCACTGTGCAGCATACAAAATTTACATATTGGCCAAGTCATGTGTCAGTCTGACTCTGACACTGTAAAGCAGCTGTACAGAGCTCTCTGTACTCTGGATCTCACCCATGTTAGCTTAACTTCTGCCCCAGTCAGGTGGGACAGACAGACTGCCAGGGAATCACAGTTTTGTTTCCCATTCAAGTTAACAAGGCTGAATGAATTATTGAGGCGTCTCACAGTTTATTAGATTAAACATTTTTGGAATGCCCATCAATCTGCAGTGATTATAAGGACTAGCTGATCATAAGAAATTTACATTGCAGTTTTGATTATGATTTTTCCAATACCCATCGTTCCAGTCACTAATTCAGCAAAACATCTGATGGGAGGTGCCCACTTAACATAAATCACACATGTGCCGTCAGAAGCCTGGTTTTTGCATAACGACTCAGTCTGGTTTAACAGTACAGTTACATCAGATCCTGTGTATTAATAAAAGGCGTCAGGGGCTTTATAAGCATTGTCCTCCTTGTTATAGGAACAATGCCATCTGTATCCACATCCTTCCACCGTCCTTGATGGTTTTCCAAATCTACAGCCTGATGTCTCACCACAAAAAACTCCAGCACACTCCTTTTCTACATGTCTTATGTGGCAGTTTTCTGCAACCAGAGTATGTGATGTTATTGGAGCATATGTGAGGGTTTAATCACAGAACAGCCTCTCCCTCCTTCCGCTCACAACATCCTCCCTGAGGCTGCAACAGCTCAGGCGCATCTGAACACAGAACCAGATGCACTCACATTTAAAATGTGATGAAAAGATAATGTTGCGGCGATTTTAAAAAAGGTAGAAAAGCTGAACCCCAGAACTTCCTTGCTACCCCGACAGCCCAAACTTAAACATGAGCAATCACTCAGCACAGGTGGGCCGTCTGCTGTTTCACACTGACGAGAACAGCAGCGGAGAGATATGAAACCATGGCAAGCTGCCACTGTCTGGGCCGGAAGCCAAGACCTTCCCTCTCTCTTTTCTCTTACACTCTGAATCCTCTGGATCCAACTCTCCCACTGGTCCCTCAGGGCCTGCCCAGCCCACGATGAAGGGATTTTTATCATGCTTTTGGTAAAGGGAGCTTTTTTTTTGCACAGATCTCGATAACTCAAAGAGAACAGCTGCCTTTCCAGGTTATCGCACACCTACAGTATCTGTGTCAGAGCTGTGATTTTACACTGTGGGGTAATTGGGTGCCACTGGCCGGTGACAGTAGGGATAAGCTTTGTTTTGGCTCACCCCTGGTTGAGGCAGACAAAACATAGCATAGATAAGTTAACAAGGTATACAAAGACTGTCCCTTTGATTTCAAATCCAAGAGTGACAGCAGGGTTTTGTCATTTATCTGGTCTGCTGAAAAGGGCTTGATCAGGAAAAACAGAACAAATACAATGTGAGCTTATAAAAACATTGCTGCGGCAGAATCTGGAGATGAAGTTAGTTCTGCTATTCAAAGGATGCTTTTGAAGCCCCAGCTGAACTTATGCTTGCCTGGAACATCTTTGCTTGATTTCACCATGTTACATGATGTCCTTTCTGCAGTATCTGAGGCAAATGGAAGCACTAAAGCGAGGTTTCACATCTGACAATGTGCTTTTGCGTGTTTACTGATGTCAGATCAGTTACATAATGTCCAGCCACGCCCTTCATATTGGCAGGAAGCAGCTGTTAAACCGATCACATGGAGCGGCATGCTCCTCAGCATCATGTCTATCACGTAAATCTTTTCCTGTTTTTCTGGTCTTTACCGCAGGTTTCCACTGTGCATTTGTAATTCAGTGCATACCTACAAGATTTAAAGAAGGGTTGCGTCAGGGCCAAAGTTAAATGATGGAAAGAATGAAAGATTCATTTGGAAAATGTACTGACCTCCATTGCCATGTTTTAACAAAGGAAAGTTTGCAATCCATTCACCATTTTACATTTTGTCTAATTCTGTAAAGCCAGTTAGAAAGCTGAGAGGGTGCTGAAGCAGGGAAGAAACAGGACATATAGTTCTGGAGGGATTCAATCCAGGGTTGTAGATGGGGTGTTGCACTTAGATCTGTCATCCTTGTATCCTTGTAAAAGAA